TAACTGAAATTTGTAAAATGACAGGGATAGATATTTTCACAGATACAATTTTATTTCTTTTCCTAAATTTCTTATATTTACTCTTGCATAATTAAAGACAGGAAGGTTTGCACTTCACAGAAAAAGTGATTGGTATTTTTGAGTTCATATTGTGTATATCATTCATAGATATTTTTATTGCATTTTGATCTTATTTATCACTACATTAATTTTCATCACAATATAGCTTTTTATTTTAATTTTGACTTAGCTATTAATATTGCATTTCTTATAAGCAGCATTTGCCATTGATTTATACTATATTGTCAGTTTCCAGGATGACTGCCTTCTCCTTCCTTAACTACAGATCTTCATTCTACAAAACCGATCAGTTATTTGAAAAATATCTGATAATATCCTGTCCTTTTTTAAAACATGCTTAATGCTTAAACAGATTACATCTGCAATTTTTCATTGTTATGTGCTTTAAAAACCCTACACCAAGTTTGGTGTAGCTTATTTGTAGAAATACCTTGTTACTAAATTAGTGTTGTGTGGTCACCTGAATTGTTTTTAATTCATATAAACAGCAACAGGAGTTGAACTTTCTGCGGTTATTGGTACTTTCTGTCAAAGAACTTGCATTGAAATATGAGCAAACTAATAGCAATGCTAAATATTACAGCTTTAACTGTATCAGTTTGTTGTATGTAGTGAAGGGGTGCAGGCAACTTAAAACAGAAGTAAGAATATATTTTAATTTTAAATGAAGATAACATTTGAGATCTGTTTCTGGACTCAAGTAAGCAATGAAATCTTCCATTTACTTTAAAGAATCATCATAATATTTTTGCTTCTAAAGTACTAGCAGTGATTTTTTTTTAGTCAAAAAGGAAGAGATTTATTGATTCGATATTAACTGATTAAGAAGCAGTCTTGGAACTGGTTGTTCAGCTCATCCATGTTGTCCTATCATGAATGAAGGAGAGTTCAGTAATGGTTTAACTACAATTAAATCCCTCCCCTTTCTTTATGGAAACTCAACTGTAGGCATTTCAGCATTAGCCTAAACAATGGTTTTGAATATGTTAAGCCCCTAACAATTAGGGAGCAGTTTGGGGCATTGAATAATGTGGAATGATGCAATTGAACCTGACAGCTTCAACAGTCAGCCTACTCATGGGACCTGAAAGTTGTTCACACTTGGTTTCATCTCTCATCACACGCTGAGTATTAAAACCTTACTGGTGTGGAGCTGAGACAGAAATGGGGCCTGTTATCAGAAAATATTTCATAGCATAAAACTTGAAAGGATCAGGGGAATATGCACTCTCCTGGGTACTCACATTTTTTAAACCCTTCTAATGTAAATATTGTTGCTCTCTTCTCTTTGACTTTTTTGGCAGCTGTTTGTAACTTTATTTTAAAGAGAGAAACTTTTTCCCTGGAATATCAACTTAGTTCAGTCATGACAGTTAATATTTTTTGTTAATTTTGCAAATGTTAATTCTGTTTATGCAAAATAAAGTAATTTTTACATTATTCTGAAGCAATATACATGTTATAACATTTCACAAAGTATATATTTTGTTCACATGTAATTGTTCTACTTGAATAATTATCAACAAAACTAAAAGATATATATGGTTAGCCTTTATATTATATGATAAATACATTAGATGGTCAATCAAAATATCCATCACTTTATAGTAGTCAGCTGTTTTTTGAATTATAGTGAAATAGCTAGCTTTATTGTGTGTAGCTTGGTTGCTTTATTGATTTTCCTGTATGAAAACAAATACTGCATACTTCCAGTTAGACCTAATTTTTCCAGTTGGAATCTTTTTGAGGAAGATGTCTGTATTTATATACAATAAATGAATGAATGAATAAATAAATAAATAAATATAAAATGTTTAGTTAACTCTTTTATTAGAAATTGTACAAGTACATTTTAGTTATGTGTTGCATGTAGGCTGTTAAATAGGATTAGCTGAAATATAGAATACTACAGCTTTAAAAATGCTGCATTTGAGAACAAGTTTCAATCTGGTGACCTTAATGTGTATTGACAGGATGATTGCGCATTTTTAATAAATGCTTGCTACAGCCTGTTTCAACTGTGAGTGAAACATGAAGCTCCTGTTTCACCTTTAAATAATGCAGTACTCTAATACCTTCCTTACTTTCCTGTCAGATGTAGTTGTCATATACATAGTCATGTTTTTCAAATCCATATTCATGCCACTTTTGTCCTCATTGAAAGAATACACTTCTAAGTTTTAAAATTTACCTCCAGCTACTTGCGCAATTTTGTTAATGTGACTTTTTTCCTTAGAGAGTTGAATTAGGTATGTGATGTGACTAGGAATTCTGTAGCTACAGCTTACGTCACAGGAAGCCTTAAATATTTAAAATGTAAACAGGGGTATACACTTAGGCAGTGAACCACCACTTGTGAAAATCCTCACATTTTTAAATATTGCTTAAATTATGCCAACCCTTTTGATCTAGTATGTCAGCCCACTTAGCAAACATTAATTTCTTTGATGTCTTTGTTTTGTGCTTTGATGGTTCCTCAAGAGAGTCTTGCTACTCCTTTCAAGATACTTAGATAATTTTAACTAAATTCATCTAGATCTACTTACGAAAATCTCGGTGCTTGTTTCAGTTAACTAAATAAACTGTCCTTGCTGGTTATTGCAGTTCTGCGCTAAGGTATACACTTAACTGTAATCTCAGACATACAAAGTTTCATGGTTTTTATTAATCTCCCTGCAAATTATATAACAGTATGAGGAAATAAATTCAGTCTGCTATAGATGTCAGCCTCACAGTCTTAAAAAAGGTGGTGCTTTAAACTTCCTAAACTTAAAAACCAATACAACATCAATTGTGTTTACTAAAGGGCAGAAATGCATTCACATAATTTATACCTACTGCAATTAAATTTAAAGTTAATGGCATTTTACTTTCTTGTTCTTATTTTTTAAAATAGGGGGGTAGATACAGTATTTAGTTAAGTTACTGTTTGTTAAAGTTTTCTTAGTGGAAGGATTTAAACAGAAATTTTTCACTATTATTTCTTTGAGAAAAAAGATTTTAAAGGTTACTAGCAACTAATAATAGTTGAGTTGGAGTCATGCTATAGGTGTTTATTGAGGAAAACAGCAGGAGCTGTTCAGTGTTGCCTGCCTTCATCAGTAAGTGTCACTGTACTTATGTGCTACATTTCAGGGATGTGTTGGGATAAACAGGTAAAAGAAAAGACCTACAGTATTTTAAAGGCTGTATGACTTATTCACATTCATTCCAACAGAAATGTAATGTAATTGTGTAGATACTGAAATAAGAGCCAGATTTTACATTCCTAGTGAAAGTGTGTGTTTAGGGCTGTATGTTCTTGTATCTGTTGAAATGACAATTGAAACAAAACATTTTCTTATATAATTTCCTATTTATTTAAGCTGTGGTCATTCTAACATTTTATGTAACGATAGAAAAAATTGAATGCAAGTACTCAACATGATTTTGCATCAGTATACAGTAAATATAGCACATTGAAAACAGTTGTATGAATTTATAAAAGTCCATTCATCAAATTTAATATGTTGGCAAGAAGCCAAAATTTAATGGTAGCGTATGATTTTTTCCAGAGACACAGTTTGTAGTCTATAATATTTTTCTTGTAATAACCAGTATGCTTCTCTTGTCTCCTGTGTGCAGTTATACATGTCAAAATGTCCTGCAACTTGAGTTCTTTGCTGTCCACCTTTTTTTTTATTTAAAAAAATAAGCATTTTTTCTTCTGAAACCCTGACATGTTTCTAAAATGTTCCTATTAAGGGTATTATGTATATAATCTCACAGGTTGTTTAACTGTTTTTCTGTAAGCATAAGAGCACAGACATAAAATCTATTTTTTCATTCTGAAAGTGTTTTAATGGAAGGTGAATGCAAAATCTTCCATCAGTGGCAGCACTTCGTGTGTGTGATAGTGTTTCCAAAATTCTGTACTTAAGGCAGATTTGTTCTTCGAAAGGGAGAAAGATATGCAGCCAAGGAAGAAGGTATTTTTATTGCATTGGATTATGCAAGATTTTGGCCAGCCTCCTTAGCTTCATCTGTTTAAGGGTTCATTTTCACTTGTTTGGCACAAGTCCCAGCAGAGATCTTCAGAATTGTGGTTAGCAACATGAATGAACACAAACTTTGGACGAGCTCTTCAGTAAGTAGAGCTGGCCTACTGCCAAAAATACAGTTCCTTATATGGGGTCAGGGCAAAGCTGTGATTCGTTGAGCCCTGTATTGTATAGAAAACATACTTGTAATGGCTGTTTGCTTTCTTTAAAATAAAACAAAACAAAACAAAAAAACACCAGGCTTCCAAGTCTATCAAAATAGGAAGTAACAAAATACTGTGCAGGTTTTACTAATGACAGACTAGAGCAAAGGAAATATGGCTCTGCGTATTTAAACTATAGAGCTGAAAGTTGGACCTTTTGACCTCCACAGCCGGCTTGTGATGTAAGGAACCCAAGCATTTGTGAGACATCTGTTGTCTACCTGCCCTTATTTTGTAAATGGTTTAATAAGATTAAATAATTAGTAAGATAACCACATGGTCGCCATGCTATTAAGTCCTAGCATTGATTGCATACTTCAGAATTGTAAGCAAGTCCGTACATCCTCCTATATGCCGATCACTTTAAAGTTTCCAGTGAAACATTTTTAACATATTTGTACAGTACATTTTTAAAAATATTGTCTTTTTGCTTAACAATATAAAAGAAAATTATACGTTTTAAACTTCAATATGTTCAGAGTTGTGTTCAGAGGTGCTGTGTTACCCTTTTCTCAATTTGATTTGAAAATTACTAGTGAAATTTAAAATAGTAATTAATTGTTAGTTATTTTTATATAAAAATACATAACTCATTAGGAATCCTGCCTTCAAATATTTTAAGAGATTTTCTTCCAGATGTTGTTTTAAGGATTTTAGTTTAATTGTTGTCTTACAGGCAAACAGTCTACCTGGATCTTCCCTCAGTTTGCCTTCATCCCACATGTATGGCAATAGACTGAATCCTAATTCATCAATGGCAGCACTTATAGCTCAGTCTGAAAACAGTCAAGCAGGTAAGCTTGCTAGAACTGTTCTAAACCTGTGCCTGTTTTCCTGACTTTAAATTTTTCGAATAAGATCGCTGTTTTTATTTCTGAATTCTTGCTTCAGGATTTAGTTAGTAAACCACTGTATACAGTTGTTACGTGTTGAAAATTAAATTCTTTGTTGTACTGCAAAATAGCTATGCATTTTTTACTGTCTGAAATGTAAATGTTTAAGCAGAGCCATCAGCAGGCAGGAATGCAACAATGTCTCTTGTGACTTTTGTGATTGATGTGTTCAGTTCTCAGCTCTTTGCAATGAAAGTAACATAGCTTTGGGTTTTGTCGTGAATAGTTTAAACCTTTATTTGCATAATTCATGAAATTGTATTACATACAAGTTTGCATGAAAGAGATCCTGTTAGAAAACTTCTACAGTGTTTAATAATCCTGTGAATATTTACCAGTTGACATTTTGTAACATTGGTCTCTTCTGCAGTTTTAATGAGGCACTGGATTTGCTTTGCTTCATTCCATCCTTAAGGATTTGTTGACATGTCCTAGTAGTCATGCCCGTTTGGGGGAAGGGAATGAGTTTAGCAGTTTACCAAGAATGGATCAGTCATGTCTTTGCCCTCTAAGAGGTCAGAGGTGACTTGACTCAGAATAGGGGGAGGGCAACCTTGAAGGGGGCAGATAGGGTTATTTTATTGAGAGGCCATAGGGAAAATAACCCTTTTCAGTCCTTCCCAGCAAAACGTTTCTGTATATTTAATGAGGGCTTTTTGTTTGTTTTTTTTTTACTACCTTTTAGCAAGAATCTTTCATATGCTTTTCTTTATAAACAATAGCAATGTATGAAGTAAGCAGCTTAATAATATATTTTCAATATATCTTTAGAACAATGTATAACTGTTAGTTGTGGTGGTAAGTTAATACATTGTATATTTTATGAGTTGTCTTGGGATGTAAAGTGTTAAAAAAAATACAAAGCATCGGGATTTGCTGTGATAAGCATACAGATTAGCTGTCCACAGCTGTGATTCATTACTTTCACCGTAGAAATTAAAAGTGGCTGAGGGGAGGGTGCTGCAAATGCAAACCACGCTTCTGTGCTGTAAAACTGAAAAGAATAAAAGAACTGAACATAATCCATGGCCTGCAACACCCACAGAAATGTGTAAGGACAACACCTTACATGCTACAGTTCAGCAATTTTAAACTAGCTACATGTTCAGTCTTCAGTAGTAACTGCAGGTAGTGGTTAAAGTTTAATATATTTTATAATATCTACAGCAGCTTTTAAAACTCTTATCTAATAAGAGTCCTTTTATCAGCTGTGAAATATTTACACTGCAGATCAAGATCTTGGAGATAATAGCCGCAGCCTTGGCAGGGGAGGTTCACCCAGAGGAAGTCTCTCACCACGGTAAGCATTATTTACATTGCAGAGTGCAAGCAAAGGAACCGTTTTAAGATTTGGAAACTTCTTTATCTTTTATCAGTAGTGCATATGTTTGTTAAGACTCTAAAGAATTATGTAGATAATTTGTGCTTCCAAGCAGTTAAAAACTCTCCTTATATTTACTGAAATAGTAATGAATTGGTGTGCACATTGAAAGAATGGCTTTAGGAGGAAACTTGAAAGTGACCGGTTTATTCTTATGATATATTAGCTTTTCTGTATACCTGTTTTTGCTAGTATAATTCATATTATACCCTCCTCCCTCTCTTCCGCCCCCCCCCACAAAAATTCCTATAGAACTACAGATTACAAAATTACGGTAATTTGACTTTTAAGGAAAATAAAAGCCAAATTATATTTAGGAACACATATTTTTATATAAAAGGAAAACTGCATCAAATTTGTTTCCAATAACCTTATTTTATTTTCTTGTGAATGTGATTGCTGTATTGAAATTTGATACCAAAATCCTTTGGCTAGAATTATGTGTCTATATCATAGTTATAAGTCTTGCTATTAACATGTTTTTAAATAATAGTATTTGAACATTTTTTGTAATAGTGGAATTTTTAAGTATTTTAATTGAGATGGAACATTGTGTGGTGTTGTTTTTTTTTAAAGTTTAAATGTACTTGTTTTGGATACATTTCTATATGAGTTATCTTATCTTAAAGATGCTGTTGTGCTCCTTACTTGGGGGCTGACATCACTGGGAATTTTGCTCAGGATTGCAGAATACAGCTCTTGAGTTCGTTATAATACTAGAAAATTGTAACTCTATTCTGCTGTTACAGTCTAAGGGACTGTTGTAGAAAGTTATAGTAAATAAAACTTAATCAGGTAATTAGTCATGTCCATTTCTGTACTGTTGGGCGCTGTTACGTTTCCTTGCGTACACAGGTAATCTGTGAAGCAAATGTGATTAACATTATGAAATGATTTTAAGGGTGCTTACACACACAATTCCCAGAGAAATAAATGGAAACCATATTCATTTTCACTTCTGAAAACTAGGTCATTAGATTATTAGTTTATATGTGCTTCTATCCAAAAATACAAAGTTAAAAGAGCATTATCAAGATTGCAGGATAATCAATAGTTAGGATATGTCAGAACCTAACTGTACCTTAATTCAGCCCCACTATGTGGGTATAATCACACTGTGCGATTATAATTATATCTCATATCACCTCTCTTTTATGTGTTTTCATCTGGACTTTACATGGCCCACAGTAACCCAGAACTGCAATATAAGTTTAGCCCCAGTGTAGACAGACTCTGGGGTATTTATATGCTTAAATCCAAAATTTCCATTGAGCATGTGTGAACTGTGAATTTTTTTTACTGAGGCTACTTATTTGGCTAAATTGCACAGGGATGGCACGAGGGACATGCTTGATACAGTAACTACCATGAGCCACATTTCAGGTTCCTGCTTCAACACATAGTGGCACTAGAGCTTTCCAAAGAAAGAGTTGGCAAAATGTTTTAACTAGGCAAAATAAGTTTTGTGGTTTTTAGGTGATATTAAAAAAACTAGAAAAAGCCCTTGAAAAAGGCATTCAACTTGGAAAATTGTCAACTGATTAAATTTGGCAACCAGCAATTTTAGCTACTTACCCTGCCCAAATAAAGAGCTATATAACTGTTATCTATCTAATGTATTTTCTACCAGCTGATTCATCTCTCCTGCGACTATTTATAACATTGAAATCCTGAGCAACTCTGTATAGTTGCTGTTCATTAAAAAGACAATATAAAAGTTCATTTAACTGCATTATGTGAAACTCCATAGCACCCCCATCCATCCCTTAAAACGTTTTTTATTTAAATGGAGTGGTATAGAAATATTTTTGGAACTTATTTATGGTGACCTGTGTAACTCACTTAAGAGTTGTGTAGCCATTCAGGATTCCGGCCAATATTGTATTTATGCCATGCTTCAATAAATGTATCTGTTTACACTTGCACACACACATATAACCACACATCATAAAGATAAATATTGGTGTGCATAGCACATAAATGAATTTCCTTTTGCCAAGGAATCTTTACTTTTTCCAAGGATAAAGCACATTTTAATCTAAAAACCAGAAAATGATTTACACTAAAAACTGTATGAAATAGTTTTGAATATTTCTGTATGTTCCTGTGTAAATGGAGTTAGGCTAAGAAAGTAGACAGTTACGCTCTGACCCTACAAGAACTAGAAAGCAAGTATGGAAGAGGATGAGAAGCAAGTTATAAAACTGTGTATTCATAGACTGAGGCAAGGGCTCCTGTTTTCAGTGATGCACAGTACAGAGATTTCTAATCTTGTCATCTTGTCTAGAAAATATTAGTGCAGCATAATGTTTTGTTTGTTTGTTTAAGTAGGGGATTCTATACAAAGTAACCACTTCCCATCACTTCAGATAACTGATACTGTTAAGATACTGTCCTCACAGAACTGAAGTAATTTTCGGACTAAACCCTGTTTGTTTTGGTTAATGAACCACATATTAAATGAGCATTTATATACATAAGAGAGATACCATATATATACACATTTTCAGTTTGCTGATTATTTTTTTTCTCTTAATCGTTAAAACAAATCTCTATCTTTTAATCATCACTGCTTTCATTTGTATCAGATACCAGACAAGCTGGGAGCACATCCAGTGTTTGGGTAATTGGTGTCCAGATAATTGACTCTACTGTAGTTCATAGTGACTTTTGAGACTGTTTTTGGCCTACCTTCCTTATGTCTCATACATGCTACTGAGCTGTCATCTCTTGCTACTGCACTGCCAAGAGTAATGTCCAATCTTTGTTGTCCACTTGGAGGAGCAGCCTGTACAAATCTACAGAACTATTGGATTATCATCTGAATGTTTCCTTAAAAATTACCTGTGCTGTTGTTTAGGTATCTAATGTACAGTGACCACTGCTTGTTACACCAATCACAGTTGACTCTCTGATTCTTGTGTCTGTCTCTATCCACCTGTTTTCCTTTGCCTTTATTTGGAAGTTAAGAGCTTTTTCGTGTCTGTTTTTATTGGGCCTAAAACAGTTGAGCCCTGATCCTCAATTGGGGCCCGTTGCTGCTGCCACAATATAAATAAGTAATAAGTGAGGACCTGAGCCATAGATTATTAAACTAAAAAGAAGGATACTAGTTCACTGCAGTGGGCTTGGATCTGACTGTCTCAATGAAGCGTAGAGCCATGTGCTTTAATTATGGAGTTAAGAAGATACTTTGAGGAACTGTTCTGTTCACTTATTACTTATTTACCTTTTCTGATGAGGAAGAAGTCCTTGAAATAGCATTTAAGGGGTAGATAGACCCTATGACAACCCTCTGCAGAGTGGTGGGTTTTCCTTGAATGAGACAGAGCCTATGGAACATGCAATATATGTTCATTCAAAGGCAGTGCATTAATGCATATGGCAAAAGGGCAAAGTAAGGTTTGGATAGACGGTCTGAATTTTGTTAATTTGAACTTTTGAGTACTACTTTAATGGTCTTGTTTAAATGAATTAATACTTCTCAGTCGCTTAAAAATATTTGCATGGATTTTGGAGCTCATCAAACAACAGAATTAGGTTGGACCTATATACTCCAGGTTTCATTATTGCAGTAATTTTAATAAGGGTTCATATTTTATTTTGCAGGTTTGTCTAGATCTTTTATTTTCCTATTTCTTGCTCTAGAAATTTGTGCTATACAAATGAGGGAAATACTCTTTGTCATCTAATTATTATATTAGTTTGCCTGAGCAAATTTTGAAGCTGAAGTATTTTGGTCTTTTGTTAAATTCTGGGTAATGAGAAAACAGTGATTTTTGATGTTTAACTTAGTGTAGAAAGTTGTGGGTGGTAGGTGCTAGGGGCCAGCCTAAGGTAAGAAATTTTATCAACCCTTAGTTAAGTAGTTATTTTTCCATCCTTTAAACATGTAAATTGCAATGTTTCCAACAGATCGCCTGTAAGCAGCTTACAGATTCGCTATGATCAGTTGGGGAACAGTAGTGTGGAAAACTTGCCCCCAGTAGCTGTCAGCATAGAACAGCTTTTGGAGCGGCAGTGGAGTGAAGGACAACAGTTTTTATTAGAGCAGGGCACCCCAAGTGACAGTAAGTATCTACATTTTCTCATATTACTGTTTTGTTGTTGGACAGCATTATGAATAAACTGTCACTCAGTGGTTGTCTAAGATTTTATAATGACTTGTTTTCATTTTATGCTGCATATATTACCTCTGCATATATTATTCACCTAAGCTCTGATGCAGCACTTTCCTTCAATTTCCAAGCACTTCATGAAAGAGGTCAGTATCATTATCCCCATTTTATAGATGGTGGCTCTGAGGCACAGAGGAAGTGACATACCCAAGATTACCCAGCAGGTCATTTGCAAGGAAATTAGCCCAAGTCTTTCAAATCCCAGGCCTATGCTCTACTTACTAGGCCATACTGCCGTGAATGTTAAACACTTGGTTATTGTAAAGGCAAAACTCAGTTCTGCTTCATATTATGGGATGCCAGGTGACAAATGGAGACATTTCTTTCAGAGGTTTATTTCTTATACGTTAAATGTAAGCTACCCACTTCCATTGTTGTGAGAAACAATGGAATATTTTACAAAGATTGTGCAGGCCCCCTGCATCACCTTTGTGTTTCTTTTATATTTTACATTCCTTAGGAAATTCCCATTTTGAGTTAATGATTGTGTTTTCAAGAGTTGTTGGACAAAATGAAATAGCTGAAAAATAAAAGATGACAAAGATTAAATGAAAAAATAGATTTTAATTGACATTATTAATAAACAGTAATAGATCAATATCATCAAATTTGATTAAATAGTTTTAGATCAAATTATTTTTATACTGTATCATTTGTGTGTGTAGTTTATTGAACAATTTATTCGTTGTGGTGATGGTTAGTGAAGTGCCATCTCGTTGGTAATTTTATGAATGGTACCCTGACAAAAATGCTAATTGTGAGGAAATTCATGCAGGGATAATCCTTTAAACATGATAGCTGGAGGACAGGTTTAGCTAAGTCTTATTGCATCTCATTTGGGCACATTGAGGGTTCCTTTGTATGTTCTTGAAGAGGAGGGATAAAAGCTAAATCCTTGGGAAATTACCAGATGTGCCTATACCAGTAGACTTATGTCTGTAGTAGGCCCAGAGGTCATGTTAAACAAATATCATTTAGAATTAAAAAGTGACTGTCCCTGTGGCAGTACAACCATGCTCTAGGACTATTTGGGACAGCCAAGTTCTGAAACAAAATCAGAATTTAAGGAAATGTTCATGGTAGAAGCTGGGCCTGCTCAGAAGATGATGCGCTTTATTGGCAAAGCAGGGGTGGTAACTGCAGTGCTCACATAGTGCTCCCTGCTGGGTGATCTATAGATTGACACAGAAAGCAACTGGAAGATATGACCTCCAGTAAGGTGCATGTTGATTCAAAAGCAATAAAAGAAATGGGGTAAAAGTTTTTCATTGATTATATAAATTCGCAATTTAGTTGACTCTGTCAACTAATAATGCTTTTAAAAACCTATTAAGAAAAGTGCGTGAAAAAAAAGTTTTCTATTGTCTGCATAACAGAGCAGTCCCTTTTTCACATAATTTCCGTAAAAAAATACCAACAAAACATTATTAGTTCATTACATAAAAGCAATATGTTTCAGGCCTTTTACTGTTTTGAGAGTTGTAGTTGAACTCTATAACCCACACAGAATAGACAATTCACAGCTACTCTGATGACTTGTCTGTCATTAAAGGAATCTTGTTTTTACTTTTGATTCAAAGACCAAGTTAGCAGAAAACATATTGAACTAAAATTTGCTCAAAATGAACACAAAACCTGATGGTGAACTGTCTATGCAGAAGCAACAATGCACCCAATGGAAAAACAGCAATTGTCAAACTGTGACCTTTTTGCTATATATATCCATATTTTAAACTGTGTGTGTCTGGCTTCAGAAGGGAAGAGTTGACTATATATGAGTATGTGTTTTCATTAATTAGTTGGGTAGATTTTTACTTTTAAATAAGCTCTGTTAATGGTCAGTATTGATTGAGTGTGTAACTAGTGATCTGAAGAATATAACCACCATTGAAAATGTTAGCACATTTATGGAATACTCTTGCAGTAAAGAAAAATACCATAAATGTGACTACAAGTGATTATAATTATTAGTTGTTGTCTAGTTTTAGGAATGCTGAAGTCATTACACCAACTTCAAGTTGAAAATCGACGGCTAGAGGAACAGATTAAAAGTCTAACTGCAAAAAAGGAGCGACTTCAGCTACTAAATGCACAGCTTTCAGTTCCCTTTCCAACAATAACTTCAAACCCCAGCCCATCTCATCAAGGGCATACGTTTCCAGCACAAGCTGGTAAGTAGAGAAGAATGTTTTCCAAAGTGCTTTCCCAAAGTAACCAGAAAGTAGGGTTACCATACATCTAGGTTTTCCCAGAAACGTCCTCTTCTTTGGCCCCCCGTGCTGTGTCCGGGCCAGTTCTTAAAATTAGAGCAAATGTCTGGGTTTTTTGCTGTTCCTCTGCTCTCCTGGGCTGGCTGCTTGGGCCTGGGAGCAGTGGGCAACGTGATTGGCTGTTGAGGGTCACATGCTCCCTGCGCAGGCCCTGGCAAGGCAGGTGGAGAGACTGTGTGCGTGCATGTGTGTGTGTGCGTGCTGCTTGGACAACAGAGCTGGGGGATGGAGGAAGGGGTTGCAGGACAGGAGTGAGGGGCACTGGCAGGGCTGTGGGTGTGGCAGGGGGCTGCAGGGCTGGGGGGGAAAGGGGCTGTGGGTTGGGAGTGAGGGAGGGTGCTGGGGAAGCAGGGGTTTAGGAGCGAGGGGCAGAGGCAGGGCATGGGCATATCACTGCCCCCCCCCCGTGTCCCCTTTTTTGCTGCTGAAAATATGGTAACCCTCGGTGATTTTTCTGAAAGATCTGTTTTGTTCCTGTTGGTCGTGAATGGGAAAGAAGTATATGTATATGAAAAGAACAGAGTTATTATAATTTTTGCATGTTTTAATTATCTTCAGTATATAGTATACATATATATCAA